GCTATGTTGCTGGACTCCCATGTGGTCGACCGTGGTTCGCGTCCCTGACCCGGTGGCTTAAAACTCACACCGGGCACATGTGCGTGCGTGCCCAAGATCCCAAGAGGAGAAGGGATTGTGGTGTGGCCATCCCCACTGGGGGGGTGATTTCTTGCTTTCTGTCTTGCTGTTTCTCTCTGTCTGGCTGGCAAGCACACGCACCCTATAGCAAAAACCTCTCCCAAAAAAAAGAGAGAAGAGGAAGTGAGAAATCACTCCCCAGGGAATGGCATGCACACATGCTCAGCATATTTCCCAAGCCATCGAGTACAGGACTCAAACTGTGCAGTACTCAATGTGTGCGGTTAAGGCACTGAACACTCCCACATGTTCAACCACAGTTCGAGTTCTGGACCTGGTGGCTTGCTTTCTCACTTTCCTTCTCTCTCCATCTGTGTCTCTCTCTGGTCAAATTAAAATAAATGAATAAATAAATAAAATTAAATTCATAATTCTAAAATAAATTTGCTGGTACTTAGTATCCAATTTTTCAAAGTGGAGAGACTGACCTCTAAGTTTCATTTGAATGCATGGGTTGTTCCTATACTCACCAGAGTCTTAGTTGATTTTTTCTCTGTGGTGACTGATAGAGATCCAGAGATGATAAACTACTCAGAAAAAAAGAGAAAAGGTCAGGGCAGTTTCTATACACAGAGTGCTACAATGCTACTGTCACAGTATTCAAGAAAAACTCCAGGGCACCAATGACCAGTGATGGAAGACATCTGTCCTAATTGCCTATAAAACATTTGGAAAGCATGAGAAAAAGCAGATATAAACAAAAGTCTATCCCAATGAATTAAATGAAGACTGGAAAGTATTCACTTAAGAGTCAAAGTTTTTCATTTGTATGTTTTTAGTGAGAAAACACAACTTTGGAGTCAGATATTCTCTGGAGAAGAACATGAACGCGATGGGATGAAAGAAGAGAAAATGAAAAGTGGCCATGTGGCTTCTGTCCTTGTTTTGTTCATGTGGCACATGGCATTTATTGATTTATGTATGTTACATCATCCATGCATTTCTAGGATAAATTTCACTTCATTATGCTGAATGATCTTTGTAATTTATTTTTTTTTTGGAGAGATTTTCACTGTAGGGAATGATCTTTGTAATTTGCTGTTGAATTCAATTTGCTAGTATTTTGTGGAAAAGTTTTGTATCTATGTTTATCGGAGCTATTTGCCTGTTTTCTTGTAGTGTCTGTGTCTGGCTTTGATATAAAGTAATGTTGGCCTTATAAAATGATTTGGAAATATTCCCTCCTTTCAACTTTTTGTGAAATATTGAAAAGTATTTCTTGGCTTTAACCATTAAGCAAAGTTCTCTTAACATTTTTTGATTATGATTTATTAAAGCAAAAACTGCCTTTCTTGCAATTATACAATGTATTTTTAAAAATACTTATTTAGTGACTACAGTATGCTATATAGCCTCAGCTATGAGCTATTTTATAGTACATTCATTCTACCCACAGAGTTTCATGCCTAAAGTCAACTTTTGTTCACAGATATGTATGTATCAGCTGAACTTACTATTGAAAGTATTTAAATTAATTAAGATATTTGTGTGTGAATCAGTACAATGTGGGAAAGAATAAAGGAATGGAAAACAACTGCAGATACCAGAGACAGGGTGGGAGGAGGATGGGAAATGGCAGAGGGGGAGAAATGGGGGGAAAATGTGTATATATACATATACACATATGTATATATATGTATGTATATATATATACATATACACAAATGTGTATATATACACACATATGTATATATACACACATATGTATACACACACATACAAGAAACAAGAAATGGAAAATTATTTCTTGACAATAACATGTATGATTAAGCCACTTTACAGTGTATTCTGGCTGAAAAATCACATTTTGTGTGCTGGGTGATGTTCAATGAAAGTATGTAAAGTAAATAAATTAATAAAAATATATATTTTTTAAAAATGAGAAAAGGATTGCTGTCCACTCTTCTTTAATAGAAAAGAATGGGGCCAGAAGGTGACATAAGGAGTTACATTTCTGGACTCTCCCATGTCCAACTGAGGTTGAAATCCTGGATCCTGTGGCTTATTATTCTTGTTGGGCATGTGTGTGTGTGTATTTGTGTATGTGCCCAAGACCCCTGGAAAAGAATGGAGAAGAAGGAATTGTGGCATGGCCATCAACCCTGGGGGGGGGGGTGATTTCTCACTTTCTCTCTCACTGTCTCTGTCTCTCCCCCACCCCCTACAAGTGTACATGCCCTAAGACAAAAAGTTCTACAAAAACAGACAAACAAATAAATAAATAGGAGGAGAAAAATAAAGAAAAAGAGAAAGAAAGAAAGGAAAATGGGGGAAGCTAAAAGATTGATATGGGAGGACAGAAATGTAGATTTTAAATTGATGGCTTTCTTAGCTAAGGTAGAGAGATAAGTGAGAACAGAAGAAAGAGTGAGACAGAGTGGCCAAAAATCTTTAAGGCTATGTTCAGAAAAATCGAAGAATTATTTTCACTCTTTGGAGCATTCATAATCTAATATACTAAGGTTAGCCAAATAACATAAAATGCTTTGATAATGAAAAAAAAAAGATTGATACAAAACAGACGAAAGATGGTACTAGAATTAAGTAATGTGTCTGCATGAATATATGCTAAGTCTTAAAACAATTGACTAAATGGCTCTCCAAATGTGAGTTGTACTTAGTGACTTGTTTCTAAAGAGTATTGAAAGAGGAGGGAAAGTTATAACTTCACAGTGAGAAACACATGATCAAGACTGACTTTATTAGTAATAACTTTTGTAGAAAGCCTATATCTTTGTTACGACTTTATGAAAGTTGAACTTCATCTCTGCTATCTTCATTTAAAAATGAATAATCCTGGGACCAGCAGTTAGCATAATGGCTATGTCGCTGTACTCCCATGTAGTCGACTGCAGTTCGAGTCCTGGACCCGGTGGCTTAAACACACCGGGTGTGTGTGTGTGCTTGCCCAAGATCTTGAGAGGTGAATGGAGGAGAAGGGATTGTGGTGTGGCCATCCTCCCTGGGGGGTGATTTCTTGCTTTCTGTCTCTCCGTCTCTCTCTGTCTTTCTGGCGAGTGCATGTGCCCTATAGCAAAAACTTCTCCAAAAAACAAGCAAGCAAACAAAAAATTAATAATCCTAGTCTAAACATGAGAAAATTAGACTCTTACCTTCCTACCCACTCGGTCCTATCTTGGACCACACACACAAGAAAACGTCTACCATTGATTCCCTGCTCCCAGAATATAAAAATGTAGCAATATGGCAGGGGCAAGAGTCTAAGTGATTGGCATTTCCCTTTCTTCTCCACCCCACCCTCCGCTCCTTAAGACATTTACTCACACACAAGGCTCCTATAAATGGGTAGCAGGACTTCACCAGGGGAGAAATCACGGAGGTAAAATGTGGAGAAAATAAAGCAGATGCCAACGTGATACCCAAGCTCAGCACCATCATTCCACACATAATCTGGATAGTCTGTTGGAAAAGAAGAAGCAACCAAAGGTTAAAAAAAGCATTTTGAAGACCTGGCCTTTTCACTTCCCCTATGTTTCCATACATTATCACCTTCTATAGGATCTCTGGTGTGAAAAATACTCAAAGATATTTTACACAAGATGTTCTGCCAGAATACCTCTGTCTCAGTTCATTTAGCCAGTACTCAGTAACCATTCCTGCATTTTTGCCTTTTGAGAGCAGGCTCTCATCTGCTTATGACCCTTACTACCAGCTCCTCCCCAGTGCTGCGTTCATTGCTAATAACTCTCTTTTATGGGAACAGGGGGCATCTGAAAGCCCTCACACTATATTATGCCCTGGAAGTTCAGAAGTCCCTGTGCACCCCCCTCTCCCCCAGACCCTACTGAAAATAACATATGCCCTCCCTCTAGCTGGTCCTGGGCCTCTTCAGTCTGTCTCTATACCTGAGGATCCTGAAGTTCTATCTTGTGACATAAAGTTTTCCTCCTGACATCCACCTTAGAAATTCACAGCTCTTTTGACATTTACCAATTTACCAGTTACCATTAGGAGTATTCTAAACCTACCTTATGAGCCTCACAGAATTCACATGGTTCGTATTCGGGGTAAGGACATCAGTCCTGCCAGGTTCTATAACCTGGCCAAATTAAGTGCCTTACTTAAGATCAAGTAAATGCAGGAAGGTTCCAAGAACCAGCATTCTATATTTTACTCCTAGTCCAAGATAGATCCCTTCCTCCTTTCATTCAAGAGTTTCTTTAACAAATCACAGATGCAAGGAAAATGAACAAAAGGTAAATACCATTTCAATTCTCAAAAGTAAAGTATATTATTCCTGTAATTTTTAGTGAGGGAAAAGTCCCTTAGAAAAATCTTTATTTTAAGCATGAAATTGGTGAGCAGATAGAAAAAAAAATGACGTAAAATATGCAATTATTTACTACCATTACTTTTGTAAGAGAAAGTATTATGTGGCAAAAATGCAGAAAGAACAAACATTAAAAAGACTAAATTGCTGTGTGCAGAATAAGGGAAAAATATTTTTAATAGCACCTCTTGTAGAAAAGTTCTGGCAAAGGTTTAAACATCTCTCATTGGCTTCCAACCAACAAGTTGGTCTCCAGATCAACCTGAAATGTCTCTGGCAAAACTTAAAGGTTCATTTTACATTGGAATGATATATCGTGATTGAATGTATATAAATGAATAAGTAAACCATGGGGGGTGGGTACTTAAAGGTATCCAGAATCCTAATGGAGATGCAAAATCTCTTCCTTCTGCCTCCCACTCCCCTCTCATCCATTCTGAATTGGATTTACCCCAATAACTTTGACTTCTGCCTTTACGTATTTCTTCAGGCTATCCTGCCTCTGGTTGATAGTTTCTGATTTCTCTGTTTGAGGGAAATTCATGCCATTTGTCGTGACTACTAAAACGGTCTCTTTGGACATAGGTTGTGACATCATGATAGGGCTGCCAGTGCTGAAAGAGAAAATTAATTTAGTCCTTTAAAAGTACAAAGCTCCAAGATTCTGGCTTCCAAAATTGTAAATGAATATTTGCCCCTTAGTTCAGACTTACCTCACTTTATGGAAAGAAACAGGTAATACAAGGCAGTGAAACCCACGAAACAATGTTCAGAGGCCAAGGTTACATAGAACTTGCTATATGCAGCAATTTCCTTTTCCTTTCCCTTAGTCTTACCTACAACTGCATTGCCACGTATTTGGTGAATCTCACCCTAATACTATTTCTCTAGTCATGAAATATGATTACAGTTCTGTTCTGCAACTTTTTCCTACACAGGTTACGTACTACACAGGCCATCTAACTCTTCATGTTTTTTTTTTTTGTCTAATAATAATATTTATTATCATTAAGTCTAGATATTTTACCATATTTTACAACACATTATTCTGCAGTGCCTCAAATCCTTACAACTCTGTATTTTAGTCAAATTATGTAATACATAAAGAAATTCAGAATCAAAAGTTTAAATTATGAATGAAAAATAGTACCAGGTACTCCTTCCCTTTGCCCATTCTAGTTCCAAAATGTTCTAGTATTTCTTAGTATCTCTTAATACACTCGGGGAACTTTAGAGCAATAAGGCAGTGATTTTAAAAATATTTCATTTTTTTAAATGAAAAAAGTCTTTCTTCATTTCCTACCTGTGTCCATGGACCAACCCTTTGGTTCCAATGAGTTCTCAGCAACTTTCAGAAGATTTCTAACTCCGGTTTCAGAGGCAGTCCTATCAATAGTTCCTACTTGTCTTCTGAAAGTCACCAGCCCTCCAGTAGACCAGTGTTTACAGCTGCACAGGATGTGATACTTACGGATTGTAGATTTGTGAAATATGCCTGCACTTCCTCTTTTTGTGTGAACTCCTAGCATCTACAGAAAAATCACAAACAGAACCAACTTGTGATGAGAGTCATGTGTGTATTGCCACTCCAACACTTACTAGACCAGATTATTAGGTAAATCTTTGTTGTCAGAGGCTCCATTTCCTAATCTGTTACATAGGCAAGCAATACCAACATTGAAGAATTGTTATAATGATACATGTTATATTGATACATGTTTATAAAAGCCTATACTATTTCCAAGGAATGTTCAATAAGGTGTAAATAATAATTGTAATGCCCTAGTAATAGTAGTGTTGATAATATTCTTTTATAGATCAGTAAACATAGAAACAATAATAGTAATAATGATTACACTGCTTTTGAGGAGTGTTCGATAACACAGCGAATAAGAGTAATAATAGAATATTAAATTTAAATTTTTTGCATTTTGTTGTTCATTTTTTTTTCCTTCTAACTTCTCAGGCTCTGGGAAGGCTCATAGCAGCCTTTTGGCATGCATTGTCTATTTCTGACTAATCTGGAGATATCTTCATTCCATGACCGCTCTCTTTCTCTAACAATGAAATTTTACTCTTAGGAAATGTGGGCTCCTCCAGGAAAGCAGTGAAACTAGAGTGGACCAGATGGAGACGATCCAGCAGGACCTGAATCAATTCAGCAATCTCTCACTCAGAATGGTTTTATGAAGACAGATGGTCCCTATGCTGATTTAATCCTTCAGGGGAGAGGGATGTTATTTGGAAGCTGATTTTAATGTAGTGGACAAGAAAACCAGAGCCAGTCACAACAGCTGCATGGCCACACTTCATAAGATTCCATCCTCCCGTCTTTAGGGGAAACACCACCTGTAGGGTCACTATTGTCTCAGAGGGCCATGGATTCCACACTTAGCTCCACACATGAACTCTTCTGGAGAAAAAAGGAATTAACAAATGCTGTTAAGAAGATTGGCTCAGTGGGGCCAGCAGGTGGCATAGTGGTTACGTCACTGGACTCCCACATGGATTACCATAGTTCACGTTCCAGGCCTGGTGGCTTAAAAATCATGCCAGCCATGTGTGCATGTATGACCAAGATACCTGGAGGAAAATGGAGGAGAAGGGATTGTGGCATGGCCATCCACCCTGGGTGGTGGGAGCTTGTTTCCTCACTTTCCCCCCGTCACTGTCTCTGTCTCTTCAGGGAGTTGCATGTGCTCTATGGCAAAAACCTCTTTAAGAAAAAAAAAAAAAAAAAAAGATTGGCTTAGTTCTCAGAGCCAGAATGACACTAAGATATTTAAATACAATCCCCTTATTTTAAATTCTAGAGATGAGATCTGAGAAGGAGGATTAATCCAGAAATGTGTGGAATGAAGGCAGAAAAACCTCCACCTCTCTCTCCTCTGAGCCCCTGGTGCCTCTTCTCCTTTCCCCGGCTGCCTGTTGTCCTTTGCCCATCATCCCTGAGCCTTTATTACTATCACAGCACCCAGTGAAATAGTGGGGTACATCTTCCCTCCTGAGCTTTGAAAATGTATAAGTCTGCCACCTTCAGAGACAACCACACCAACTTTCCCTTTAGGGGGAATCTGCTAATGAAGCAACTAATTCTGCCCACTTAAGCAAAGATTCTCTCTCCCATCTGTTTTCTTCTTTTACTATTAGAATTTTCGATGATCTTGGAAGTGTTTCAAGGATTACATGAGACAATACATGTAATGTATTTAGCACAACACCCCACAGCATAGGGGCCCCCAAGTGAAATCTGTTTACTGTCTTCCTTCCACCCCTGCCTAATCCCTTCACTTTCCCCTTTCCTTTTTGTTCTTTTCTTCTCCTTTTGGGCATTAGTAATCTCTGAACAAAGAACGCCTCTGTCTAGCCTCTCCTTGATTTCCTCCCTTGTCTTTACACTCCCCATTGCTTCCAGAGTCTGAACTCCACCAACCTAACTAGGAGGGAAAAGACTGATAAAAATCACTACATATGCTTATTAATTCTATTGGATGGAATTTCTCATACAAAGGTACTTCTGACATGTTGCACTGGATACTTCTTTGTTATACTGGGCCTGCGAACTGTAGAATGTTCAGCGGATTTCCTGGCCCTGACCTATTAGATACCAGTAACTACTCCACTCCAGGTGTGGCAGCGAAAATGTCATAAAAAATGGGAACCAGCAGTTAGCGTAATGGCTATGTTGCTGGACTCCCACGTAGTCGACCGCGGTTTGGGTCCCGGACCTGGTGGCTTAAAACTCACGCCAGGTGCGTGTGCGTGTGTGCCCAAGATCCCGAGAGGAGAATGGAGGAGAAGGGATTGCGGCGTGACCATCCCCCCTGGGGGGTGATTTCTTCCTTTCTGTCTGTATGTCTCCCTCTGTCTGTCTGGCGAGCGCACGCGCCCTATAACGAAAACCTCTCCAAAAAAAAAAAAAAAAGTCATAAAAAATGACCAAATTCCTCTGATGGAGGAGAAACAAAATCCCTTTACTCCTATCTTGAGAGCCAGCCGTCCAGGAGCAAAGGAATTTTCTGTGACTTCTGTGTAAAGGTGGGAGTGTAAGAAACAGCCTTATTTTCTTTAGGTCAAAATAATTTCCTGATTTTTAAACTTTTTTTAAACATTTTTAATTGTTAAAAAAACACATAAAATTTACCATCTTCACCATTTTTAAGTGTATAGTTCAGTAGTATTAATTATATTCACATTGCTGCATAGCAGATCTTTAGAACCTTCTCATATTGCCAAATGTTTTATACTTGTTTGTTGAACAATAATTCCCCATTTCCCTCCTACCTTTTCCCCCAGCAACCACCATTCCCATAGTGCTCAATGAGTTCTGTGATTACTTTAGATACCTCATATCAGTGGGATCATATAGTAATTTTCTTTTTTGTGACTGAATTTTTTCCCTCAACCTGATACCTGCAAGTTTCATTGATGATGTCCATGTGACAAGATTTCCTTCTTTACTATTTATTTATTTTTTTAGAAGTTTTGTCTTACGGTGCATTTGCTCACTGGAGAGAGAGAGGGAGAGAGAGACAGACAGACATAATGAAAGGGAAATCACTCCCAGGAGATGACCATGTCGCAATCCTTTCCCTTCATTCTCCTCCCTGGGATCTTGGGCACACACACATGTGCACCCAGAGTGAGTTTCAAGCTACTGGATCTGGGACTCAAACGGTGGTTGACCATGTGGGAGTCCAGCAATGTAACCCTTGTGTCATCTTTTAAATGTCACATAATTCATACACCTCCATTTCTTTAGGGTTGATTTCTAGAGATATTTTTGTTTCTTTGGTTGGGTTATACTTTCTCGTTTTGCTCTATGCCTTGTGATCTTTTGTTGAGATATGGGCATTTGTGAAAAAACAAAAACAAAAACAAAAAAACAAAAAAACAAATCCCAGAACCAAAACAAAACCAACCTCCTCTTGTTATTTCAGACTAGCATCATATAGGCAAAGACCTTTACCAATAAGCTTAGCTAAAGATTCCAGAAGCCTCTCGAACCTTTTCTGGAAGTATGTGTTTTCTGGACTTGTATGTGTAATACCCCAGTTCCAAGGTTTACCTGAACCTCTCTTGAGCCCATTGTCTCTTTCTCCCCTTGCTATCAGTCTTTAGTACTATAATCTCTCTTCTGCTGAAACGGTGGCACTTGCCTTTGTTCTTAGGGTTCCCTATACAACTTAGGTTCTTGTCAGAAATGAGTCAAGAAAAACAGAAAACCCTTGGGAACTCCCCCTTCCCCCCCTGCAAAAAGGCAAAATGCTGAACTCATGATTCACTCTTCTTGCTTTCTTGAGGAAGATGCTGAGACTTCAGTATTTTCTCCCAATCAGACCATTCTGCGACACTGTAAGAAAGTGGATGGAGGGTGGGGGGGGGTAAGGTGCTACAAAATTTTCTGCCAACTTTACATTATGTAGGGTGCATCAGTATTTTAACAAGGTTTTGGACTTCTTACAAAGGCGATTTAGTTCATATGTCATTAAGTCAGTATCTCCATAAGCGAATGAGGATCTGAGGATTCAAGTCTGCCATCTTACTGACGGCACTCATGTTAATTTCTTGTTACTGGATCCTATTCTGCTGAGATGGGAAATCACCCATCTGCCTATGGTAGATTCCAAAAACACATGCCTGTAAATGACCTCTGCCTCTGTTTAATCTGTGGGCATTTATTTAGCTATTTATACTAAAATAAACTTTAATTGCTATATGTAAGTAAATGTAAATAATAGCCTCAGATCAACTATTTTCTATTTGTGCTTCATAAGTATTACTTGTAGTTTTTGTTTATGATTACATCTGAAATTGACTTGAAATATCTCTGTTCAAATTATTTGGGCCAACTAATAAAGATATAAGTGTTTTATGGTTTTGACAAGGTTTGCAGCTCTTTGAATTAATAGAAATCTGCATGTAGCATCCCACTACTTGGGGAAACACTGGCTCACAGAGGATATATGGATAGATTAAACCATGCCATGTCAAAATAGCACAATATTTAAGCTAATTTCCTCATATATAATAAATAACAATTAAGAGCAATCCATTAAAGTTTGCTACAATTATTTCTTTTCAGGAAATATTCAACATGTGTGCTTGATATCAATTTCTGTCATTCAGCTGTGACCTGAATCACAAATGGAGTAGTCAATTTAGCTAAAAATAGGGGGAAAGATGGCAAATTAAATCTATACTTCAAACCATTCAGTAAAAATTTTATTGAAAACATAATATTCACATTGTTTTAAAGTACCAACTACTGATTAGTTTTTATTCCCGAAGTTGAAAATACACCTGTATAATGAATACATCTGGTAGAAACCACCTGTCAGTCTGATCGGGCTAAATATATCATAGACTGGGTAGTCTAAATAACAAACATTTATTTCTCATAATTCTAGAGGCTGAAGAATATGAAATCAAGATGCTGGCATATCCTTATATCTGATGAA